TTGCTCCTCAGGGCTACACACGCATGGGCAGAAAGCAGTAGACACACACACACACACCCCTAACCCAGGAAATAAGGCGTGCGGATGAATAATTATTGTTTCCATTTATTGATCACATCCAAAGTGCCAGTCTCACTAATGATCACCTCCACAGATACGACTCCATGAGGGACTATTCCCCATTCTCTACAGGAAGAAACTGAACTGAGGCTTTAAGCAACTGAGCTAAGGTCATTTACATGTTAGAACTGGAAGGAGAATTTGATTCCAAGTCTGTCTGACTCTGAAAGGCTGTGTTTTTCACTAACACCAGCCTGCTTATCTGATGTTCATATACTGATATGGATAACCGAATGTGGCACACACATCGTCTGGATAACCTCACCTGTGATATCCGCCTTCCCGCCGCCACCTCTCTGTCACACAAACACCCCCCCACCCCCACCCACACACGCAGACTCAGTGCCCCTGCATAGACTGCAGTGTGAATGGCGCCCCCTGGAGCTCGCACAGAGCAGTGATCCTGTTCTGGTCCATCTTGTGCTAAGAGAGAAACTAAGGTGGAGGCAGGCAGCATCGCTGCCTTCCAGCTCCAAGAGGAGCGCAGCAGCACCTGTGCGCAAGGCAGCACACTTGGGGGCAGAGTAGCATGCTCAGAGTCCCAGACCTCGCTCAAACGCAAACCAGCCCACGGCTGGGCGCTTCCAGAGTCACTCAGGAGCCGAGTGCCGGTCTTGGCTCCGCGTCTTTCTAAGTGGGAGATCTTCAGAATCTGTCCATGTTTGTCAGAAGGAAGAGCTGGAGCTCTGCGTCAGACTGGTGAGGGAGTCGGGAGGCCGCGCTTCCTGGGGCTCGGCCCGGTGCCGGCTTGGTGCGTGGCCCACATCTGAGCAGTGCTGCAGGTGCAGGCTGAGTACTTTTTATCCAAGATGCTTGGGAAATATTTTTGATTTTAAAAATGATTGTTTATATTTATTTGAAAGGGGGAGAGAGAGAGAGATCCTTCATCCATTGGTTCACTCCCCAAATGCCTGTAACAGCCACATGAGCATGCAGGGCCAGGCTGAAGTCAGAAACCAAGAACTCAATTCGGTTGGGTGGCAGGGACCCAAGTACTCAAGGCATCGCCTGCTGCCTCCCAGGATGTACGTTAGCAAAAAGCTGGGGCAGAAGCAGGGCCAGGACCTGGACCCGGGCACTCCAATATGGGATGCGAGTGTCTTACATACTGCACCAAATATCTACCTCTTGGAATTTTAAATTTGCATGTATTTGCACATACATAACGAGATGGCTTAGGGATGGAACCCAAGTCTAAACATGAAATTCATTTATGTTTCATGTATATCTTTTACACAACTTAAAGGTAACTTTTTTAAAACATCTTTTAGCATAGCTGCATATTGAAAATTTATTCAAGAGACAGAGAAACAGAGGCAGGTAGGCAGAGAGGGCCCCCCTCCCCCTCTACTGGTCTACTCTCCAAATGCCTGCACCAGCAGAGGCTGGGCTAAGCCAAAGCCCAGAGTGGGGAACTCAAGCCTGTCTCCAGTGTGAGTGGCAGGAAGCCAAACGCTTGGGCTGAGACTCAAACCCAGGCACTCTATATGGCATCTCAATCCATATCTCAACCACCAGGCCAACACACGTTGACTGTGACCCATCACGTGAACACAGGTGTGGGATTCTCTGTATGTTATACCACATCAGGCTCATAATGCATTAGATGATTTTAGACGATTGTGGATTTTGAGGTTAGGGATGCTCAGCGTGTATAGTTGTTGTAAAAGTATTTAAATGGAGTCATTGCACATTACGGGTTCATGCAGTCAGAGAGCCAGACCGACTTATATACACAGTCACTTACAGTGGTATCTTTCCACATAATTATAGAAGGATTGCCTGCAGTTCCATGCAAGCTCAGGGCGATCATTGTCGTCTACAGAAGTCCCCGGTGCCAGCACCAGATAGGAACCTGATTCTGGATGCAAGGGCGCAGTCCCTGCCTGCCCATGCCCAAGTGTTCCTGCGGAACTGGGTGGGGGAGGTTCTGGGCTGGTTCTCGGACGTGGTCGTCCGAGCTTGAGGTATGTAGAACCGCAGGGCCTCGCGTCTCCAGGGCGCTGTAAGATCAGACAGCTCCACACTGCTCTCCTGCCCTGGACACCCACTCCCCGCAGCAGCGGGCGCTCTACGCTCACTTCAACAAATGCACTTCCCTTCCGCCCCTGTCTACTCTGCGTCCACCGTCCACCGCCAGCTTCTTCCCCTGAGCCTCCCCTTTCCATATCTCACTCGGTCCTCCCATGCCCACCTTTAAGCATCTTGCAAGGGGACAGGCCACCTGCCCATTGTGTTGCCAGAGCTGGGAGGCTGGGCAGAGCGTCCATGTTTACCTGGGCACATCGGGAAGCAGACTTGCCCTGCCCCACCCTCCCTTCCTCCCTGTCACTTTTGTTTACACACTCCGTGAACTTCTCCTGCTTGTGTGTTTCATTGCTGCCTTACTCATTCATTCATTCATTCATTCATTCTCTCTCTCTGACAAAACAGGTTGCACAACAATAAGTGCTTGCTCCCTAAATATTTGTAGGAGCAGGAAAGCAGAGATCTGGGATAGGTAGGTAGAGTTTACATGCAGGAATAGAGTTAGTGTTTGTCTTGTTTTTCAATGTAGAGGACCAGGTTTAGAGGCAGAGAAAATTAGTTTTAAAATGCAAGAAGAGGGGGCCAGTGCCGTGGCTCACTTGGTTAATCCTCCACCTGCGGCGCCGGCATCCCATATGGGCACCGGATTCTGTCCCGGCTGCTCCTCTTCCAGTCCAGCTCTCTGCTGTGGCCTGGGAAGCAGTGAGATGGCCAGGTCCTTGGGCCCTGCACCCACATGGGAGACCAGGAGAAGCACCTGGCTCCTGGCTTCGGATTGGTGCAGCGCCGGCCGTAGCGGCCATCTGGGGAGTGAACCAACAGAAGGAAGACCTTTCTCTCTGTCTCTCTCTCTCTCACTGTCTATAACTCTACCTGTCAAATAAATAAATAAATAAATGCAAGGAGAGGCCACAATAATTCTGATGCAGGTGCCCGTGGCTTCTGCGCCCGGTCCAAGTGTGAGCCTGGGCAAACCTTCTGCTCTTTGCCTGGGATCACGGGTGTCAGCAGGCCCAGCACCAAGACAAGAGGGACAGTCAGAAGTACCTCTGCAGTCAGGAGGGCTAGATTTAAACCCTGAGGCTCTGCCCTTGGCTGCAAAGGGCAGAGATTCGGTGACTGATCCTGGTCAGAAGAGGAGTGAAGCTTGCTAGGGAACTTCCTAAGGGGAAGCTGGGACCGAGCCTGGGTCTGCATGGATCCAAACCGCCTGTTCTCCCACTGCCTAAAAACCACGAGGCTCTGCTGGCGAGAGGTTCTTTGCTGTTTATGTCAGACGGGCCCCCTGAAGTAGGGGTGCACAAACTCATCTCTCTTGCTTGTCTTTCCCCTCCCTGCACGCAGCCTGCACTTGAACGCCACAGGTTGAGACAAAGAGGGGAGAGAGGTGAGGGCAGAAGGAGCTGGAAGAGAGCAGTGCTTTGGGCAGGAATCTCAGAGGGAGAGGAGAAAGAGAAGGTTCTGCAGAGGGCCTCTGAATAAGGGAAGCAGGAGCTAGGACAGTTGGAAAGACAAACACACCTGGAAGGCTCCGGTGTGGAAATCATTGTATGCAAACTGTAAGCAAACCATGCTGCCCTCTGACAGGCTTGCATAGGAAAGCTTCAGCCATGTCGTTGGGTTTGGACACAAGGACAAAACAGGGGCCTTTGTTTTTTGAAGCGCCATTGGAGACACTCTGCCCCCTTTCTGATAGGCCCCCTCCTCTGTGTTGTTCCCTCTGTGACCACCAGGGAGCAGTAGTGTTTCTCATCCGCCGCCGGAGGTGGGAGGGGGGTTGCACCAAGGAGTCCAGGTCTAGCTGGCTGCTCTGCAGGAAGCACCCCAGGTCTACTGCACCTCCTGCCCTGCAAGCCAGCGTGGCTCCCGGCTCCTCACCCAAGCATCATTTCACCCTTGGCCCTTTGTTGCTTGTAAATTCTCTGGTTTGGGGGGTCTCACCGTGTTTCCGCTGCCCAGCTTGCTCTCAGAGCCTGCCTTCTCCGCTTTCCCTCTCTGTTCTTGCAACTTCACATCCGGGTCGTGTGGGCTGTCCTGTATAACACCCCCTGCCCCCGCCCCACGGTTTGCCGGGCCCTGCTGTGTGCGGTGCTGCCTCATGGATGCCCTGTCTTCCTTTCTCTGCCCACCTCCTGCAGTTCAGGAATCATGACTTGGGGGTGGGGGACACTGGCTCCCCAGCTGAGCTCTGAGAGATGTCTTCCAGCGCAATAACCAGAGGGCGGTGGCGGGCAGCGGGGAGAGGTGGTGCCAGAGAGAGCAGGGAGCGGCCTGGGGTTTCTCAGCTCCGATGCACGAGGGAGGGAGGGAAGGAGGAAGGGGCAGCAAGGGCGCCCTGGAGCCTGGGGCCAGTTGGGAGCTGGAAGATTCATCTCGGGGGAGGACTGCACCCTCACAACTCTCCACCCTCCTCCCTCGGCTCCTGGCCTCCCTCCTCCCATCCCCCTCAGTGGCAGCAGCCTTGTAATTTAAAGCTCTCTCTGTCGCCTCTAATGTGATCCTCTCGTTTTATTGACTCTCTCTGCCGTCTGTGGCGCCCCTTCACATCAATCTCCTCTAATCACACCGCCGCCACCGCCTGCTCGGCTCCCCTAACCCCTCTGCTCTGCACCAGCCCCGGGCCGCGCCTCTCCCCAGTGGACAGTTCCCCACTCCACACCGCACCTGCCCTCTTCCTCCACCCCTCCTTTCCAGGCTGGGGCGTCAGGGCCTTCCAGGAGTCACCTTCCCTCTCCCCCACCCCCACCCCCGGGTCCCCTGGGAGAGGAGGTGCCCTCTAGGAAGCCAGGCTCAGAAGGGCAGGGGGTCTGGGGGAAGCTGACAGCATCTTG